GGGAAAAATATAAAGAATAATAACATTGTAGCTAAATACTATTTCCTAAATTCAAAACAATACTAGAATGCTAAAATATCTCATAGCTATCATATACAAATATACAACTAATTCTATTAATTTTTATAATATCTACTCTAGTACTATAAACATATGTTTCTCTATTTATAAATAATAGCATATTTGTAAATTCAATAACTAAATATAATCAAATCTTATCATACAAATTTGCATACTTCAACAAACAACACTTTAGCTATTTACTTTTTATATTAAAAACTATATTAGTTGATATCACAATAGATATACAATTAGATAAAAACTTATCAATAGATAGTAAACTAGATTCACTGTTTCTTCTAAATATTATTTTATAGAATTTTTATATAATCAATTCATTCTACTTCTTTTGTCAATGCATAGTCTATATTTACTCAAAACAATATTCAAACATATTACTGCAATTACAAATTATCTATATTAAATAAACTAATAATATATATTATATCTAGTTATAACTATACTAGATATATTATAAACAGATATATTAAACTATATATTATATAGTAACAAATCACTGGCTCTTTATACTAACCTAATACTCTATATTAAAAACTTTCAAGATAAAACTCATAGCAGATGAACTTTTAGTATATTTAAACTTCTATATTTGGAACTTAACTGAACATAAAAATTATCTTTGTTTCTACTATTATTTAAACTAAAAAAGCTTTACTCATATATATATATATACAAAACTATATTAGACTTAAAACATTTCTTAAAAACATATTTTATAAATATATAAGAAAGAACAAAGTAGAATTACAAAAAATACATACTTTCATAAGCATATACAAATACTTATACTGTATATAGAAAATACTAATAAGAATTATTACAAATAGATCTACAATATACTCTAACTAATAGATAATTTAACTGGCTATATGTATTACAAAAAACAAAATATAGCATAAATCATATAATCAAAACATTACTAAACCTAACCAGTATAAAGAAAAGACTCAACAAAATAAGGTTATATTTTATTAAGCAAACTTTTAACTAGAACAATATAGCTACTCTTCATTAGATATTTCTTCTACCTATTACAGGTAATATTTCTAAAAGGAAAGAGTCAAAATAGTATAATATACTTAGACAAACTATAGAAAAGGACTATTTGAAAGACTATATCCATTAGCTATTCAAACCTAATTCTTATATCATCTAGTATACAACTATAGCAAAGAATAACTAGATTTCAATACTAAATAATAGTAAACTAATAATTTATAATATCATAGCAATTCTCAAAGACAAAACTACAAATCTAAAGCACTAGATACCTAACTTAGAATTAACAGCTCTAATACTATATAAAGGTTGTATACAAAATAGTAGTAGCAAACAATATATACAAAATCATTACAAATCAGACATAAATACTAAGATAGCTACATATATAAAAGTTAGCAAAGCAAAAAGAATCTATTCAAATATAAAAGAAATTATCTCATTTTTAAAGATAAACAAGAAATTACTCCAAAACAAGTATGTTAGAACTGACTCTAAAACAAATATATTATACTTAAACAAAAAACTACAAGACATAGAAATGATTACTAAAACAATAGTAAAGACTAATAGTTAAAATATATTAATTAGTATATATCTGTAGACAAGCTAGAAGAAGCAGATCACTACAACAATTGTTACAAAATCTGTAGAAAATGAAGAAACAAAATCACATGATTTCATTGTATAGTAGAATATACTAGATCTAAATCTCTAGCTTACAATTAAACTCAGTACTTAGTTTAGTAAAAACTATATACTACTTATAGCAATAGCAACTATTTTACTTATAGTATCCACAGACTGCAAACTAACTCTTATAGTAATATCTTAACAAATACTTAATATCTGAGAAATACTAATTAGTAATAGATATAATATAAAACACAAAATAGACAAACAAAAAGAATAGTTACTATAGCTACTAATATATATACTTTTTTATAAAAAACAATTAGAAATTACTATTAAAATCTTTACTATGCTCTCTATAAGAATCTGAAGCTTGCTTATAGAAGTAACATTTTTTTTTTTTTTTTTTTTTTTTTTTTTTTTTTTTTTTTTTTTTTACTTTATACAAATACCATCAGCTGAAACTTTTTATTGGTATTGATAGTGATAAATATTATATATTGTAAGAGTACAACTAGCCACATGTACAACTTTAGATTATCTAATTTAAGTAGTCTGCCTGAAGGTTTTACACTAGCTACTATATTTGAAATCTATTTGAAGATTACCTATTTAAACTCTCTGGCTCTATGATACTTACTCGTATTCTATTCTTTTTTACTAAAGTTCATCTAACTCTATGCTACTTCTCCTGGAAGATACCCGAGCTGACATTAGTCTACAAACTTTATGGTTCAGAGCCTAGGCCCTATCACAAGATATCCCTTCACCAACTCCCTAACCAATAGGTGCTATGGTATTCAACTATGCTATGCTATATCCTAATCTAGCTTGCATAAACCCTTGTTCGATGTTCGTACAAACCTAGTTCCTACTATAGCTTTCTACCAAGTTAGTTATTCGTACCTCCAGATATCACACAAAGTAGATCCTCCCAAATCTGTTACTTGGTGTTGCTTGCTTTGTCACCAGATATCACACAAGACAGATCTTTCCAAATCCAGTTAGCCACTAAGCCAAGTTGGTGTTGCTGTACAACCTCATATAACAGACTTACTCGTACCTGTTTTATCAATCCTTCTGTACTTAGGACTTACTCATATCTATTTTGCTAATCTTTCTATATGCAGATTTCCTTTCCTAGATCAAATATTAACTGGTATAACTATCAAAATCTGTATTACTTCATCTAACTCGGGATTTCTACTATACAGGTCCCCTGCCTGTAAATCCTATCAAGATTTATTTGTATAATATTATGCCTCGCCAAATGCCCCATTATACTTCCAATATCTGATTGGTATTAGTACAATATGATTTACAGGGTTACAACTCCAGAAATGAGCAGAGTTTTACTGTAAGTTGAATACAGATGTCTAGGTAATTATTCAATTCTGTATATAGTAGGATTTGAACCCTAGACCTCTTGTATGGCGGTCTAGCAACCTAACTACTATACTAAGATTACCAGACCTAGAAGTAACACTTAATTTTGACTAGACTAAATATAATACTTATTATCTCTAATAGCAAAACAATACTGTTATATATCAATCTAGACATTTCATTAGATATTTAAATAATATAACTCACCTAGTAGAATAGTACAGTATTGTTAACTAGAAGCTAGAACTTCCACTAGATATTCAGATTTTTCCAGTGTTCTAGTAGTTCCAGTTAAGATTTTTTTTACTGGAACGAATATCATATCAACTAATCAAAATACAGAACTATAATCATGTATATCATACTGGGATATTGCATATTATGTCATAGTAATTTATTATAAAAATTATATATCTTTAAAATATTTTAACTTCTGTTCTAGAAAAGCAAATTCAATTCTGTAACTTGCTAGTGATATTAGAATAGTGTAGTTTTAAAACTATATTGAGATATTTTTAAATTTATTTTAACAATATAGTTAAAAGATCAAATGTTTTTTTAGTCATGAATTTTAATAGTAAAATATTCACAATTTATAAGTTTATACTATAGAGGTCTGAAATATTTACATATAATTCTTAAATGTCACAACAAAGTTTTATAGCTACACTATCCAAATATTATTTATAAGTTGCAGAATTGAATTTGTTTTACTAGCACAAGAGTTGGAATGTTTTAAATATAGATTTAAATATGATATATATAATATATATAGTATATTATTTAATTTAAATCACACTTAAAACATTCTAACTCTGGCACTAGTAAAACAAATTTAATTCTGCATTTTGTAAATAATATTTGGATAGTGTGGCTATAAAACTTTGTTGTGATATTTAAGAATTATATATAAATATTTCGAGCCTCTATAGTATAAACTTATAAATCATAAATATTTTACTATTAAAATTTACGACTAAAAAAATATTTGATCTTTTAACTATATTGTTAAAATAAATTTAAAAATGTCTCAATGTAGTTTTAAAACTACACTATTCTAATATCATTTGCAAGTTACAGAATTGAATTTGCTTTTCTAGAATGGAAGTTAAAATATTTTAAAGATACGTGATTTTTATAATAAATTACTATAACAAAAAATCTTACATAGAGTAAATTACATATAGCACTACACTATAATAGTTAATCATATGATATACAACACCCAATATCATACCAATATCAACCAATCAGAGAACAAGTATTATATATTTATATATATAGTAAATTTATTCATTTAATAATTCTTTTAAAAAATAATACAATACGTAATGAAAGAATATGAATAATAATACATAAAAAAAAATAGATCTATATTTAATTTAACTTCAAATCAAATTTAAACAGAGCCATGTTACTTATTTTGAATTAAATCTGTACTCATAGTATAGTTAAGATTGAAGGCTTCAGATAAATTTCCTATATTAAATATTTCAGTATTTCACGAAGCTGTGAGAATTGCAATAAGTTTGTTATTACTATAATTTTATCAAAAGCCAACCTAAGGTTCTGATGTTCGGTTTGAGTTCAGTTTGGTTCGAGTCGAATCTGAACTTGAACTGAACTTGAACAGCAATTTTTACTAATTTCAAACCCGAACTCGAACTCAAACTTATAATTCCCAAACCTGAACTAGACTTGAACACAGTAATAAGTTTGGTTCAAGTTCAGTTCGAAGTTCACGAATATGTTCAGGTTCGAATATAAAATATTCAAAAAAAAGGTTTTCAATTCCTGAAAACTTTTCAGGAATTGAGTCTATAAACTATAAACTGTACTATTATATAAATAGAGCTTTAACTTACACTTTTCTCTTATTTAGTCAACATACTATATTGCATATGAAAAAGATAAGTATATTTATTACTGCTATTATTATAATTCCTAGAATACCTGATAATTTTCTCGCTATCTAAAATATTCTCAGTCTCATCTAGTAAATTACCTAACCTTTTGGAAACTGTATCACTATCTTCGTATTGGAGGTCTGAAGATAGCAATATAGTTTCTAAAAGGTTAGATAATTTAACAGACGAGACTGAGAATATTTCAGGTAGCAGAAAAATTATCAGGTGTTCCAGAGATTATGATAATAGCAGTAACTTGAATTTGACATATAATTGGAATAAATAGTGTAATATTAATCACGATAATTTATTTTATAAAAGGCAATTATTTTTAGAGAAGTTTTTTAGAAGATTATCTTGAATTGGATCAGGTTAAGTAAGAAAAAAAAAAAAAAATTTAGCCAACAAATAATAAGTTTTATGTCTATAGAAATTACATCAAATACTTCTGATAATGACCATAGCAACAACTTTGATAATAACTATGATAACAGCTATTGTAATGACTATTGTAATAATGCTGATGATATTTGTAGCATAACTAGCAAGCGAAGTAATAGAAGTAAGGTGTGGGATTTTTTTAAAAAGGTTGTATAGCAAAAGGAAAAAAAAATGGCTAAATATACAGTATCCAAGTGCCAAAATAAGGAGTTTTCTTGTGGAAAGGGAAGCTCAACTAGGATGCTATGATGCCACTTGGAAAGTACATACTGGACTCAGTATGTCACAACAGAGAAATTTAATAAAAAAAAAAAGGAAGGCACAAAGTAAATGTGGTACCATTAAGGATGCATTAGAAAGGTTAGCTTTAGAGTTCTGAAAGTGCCAGGCATGATACTATTAAAATATAATGCCTAGTACAGGCATTATGTTTTAATAGTATCGTACCTAGTACTTGCAGAACTCTAGTTAGTTCTATTAATTTTAAGCTAATCTAATTTGAAAAATATTGTATAGAATCCTAAAGATTTAATGTTAGTTGATATTGATAATATAAAGCTTCATGATATGTTTGCTGCCTAGATTATTAATTGTCAACACCCATTTAATATAATTGAAGATACTGAATTAATTGAAATTATAGAGTATTTGAATCTTACAGCACATTTAGTTAAAGCTGATGCAATCAAAACAGCAATAATGTCATTTTATAATTCAGGAAAAAAGAAGTTAAAGGCAAGCTTATAATTGTTATTTTTTTTTAATTTATTTTAATTTAACCTTAGGAACCTAGAGCGCCAGTGAAATATTTTATTAAATATTATATTTTTATATCATTATAATGTATCAAATTGTAAAGCTTATTGTATAAGTTTACATATCTAATTAAAGTGATTTTTTATTACAATATTTTTTATTTTTTATTTAAATTTATTTATTTATTATTTTTATTTGATTAGAGTTATTGATTCAATAAAGTATTAGCATGATTGCTGAAAAAAAAAAAAAAAAAAAAATAGATATTAGTTAAGATTAATATATTCAAAAATCATTTTTCTATCCTGTTTCATTCATCAATGTAATCTTACTGTAGGAGAAATCTTCAAAGAATCTAATGAATTCAAAGTCATATCCAAAAAGGCTCTAAAAATAGTTTCATATTTTAATTATGCAATTAATTTTATTTCATTAAAAAACTTCAAGATGTACAATTTCAAATCTATAAAACATGTATTACTCTAGTTTGCCTAGCAGATACTCATTAGAATTCTTATGCTTATTGCTTTAAAAGTTTAATAAAATTCTGCCAGACTTTGAGAGTAAGTTTATACTCTTTTAAAATTATATCTACTATAATTGTAATATTATAAGAAATTTGATCTGTAGTTACTAATCTATATAAGATAGTTAATTCCAAAGTTAATAAAATAATAATCATTTTTTATAATATGAAGGCTCTAGTAACTTAATTCAATAATTCTTTTTTTTTTAAAAGAATTTAGCTACTACACACGAATCTTCTTTGGATAGTATAACTCAAAATTCAGATGATGAATTAGGTCAATCTTCAACCAACTTAGATAAACTTTACCTTCCAAGAGATATAATATTAATTTTGCTCAATAATAATTTCTGGCACTCAGTAAAATCATTGCATTCATTGCTTCTTCCTTATTGCAAAGTTCTCAATAAATTACAATTAGATATGCTCGCCTTTATGAAGTGTTACAATCTTCTGGTAGAATATTAAAAATATGAGAAGAATATCCTGATGAAAATTTAGCAAAGTGTATAATCTTATGGCTAGAACAAAAGTGGAAGCAATGGAAGCAATCATTATTGTTATTGGCTTTTCCTTTAAATCCAAGTATCTGTGATACTTGGTTCAAAACTAATACTGATAATTTAAATTTTACATACTTTGCCTAATTCATTACTTATTACTATAAAGCATAGTTTGAGTATCAACTAATCTGTATTCTACTTGAGTTTAAAAAATATAGAAAATATGAATACCTATTTGATCATTCCATATATAAACAATTTAAAGGAAGTGTGTTAGAATTTTGGGACTTTGCCTCTCTCTTGACTAAAGAATTAGGACCTTTAGCTATATAGCTATTTGGGATCTATATTAATACAGTATCTGTAGAATGATTATAGAGTTCAATGAGATTTATCTATACTAACCAACAAAATCGTCTTCAAGTGAGTATTACTGTAAATTATTATATTCAATTATGATATTGTTTTTGATTTATTTATTTATTTATTTTTTACAAAATTATTAATTAAATTGTAGAATAAAAAAGTGTTAGTCATATGCTATATTTGTGCTTCAATTAACTTTACTCAACAAAAAAAACTATACAAACCTTCTAATAATCTAGCATATCAAAATATTAAACCTGAACAAAATGAATTAGATGATCAAGATAAATTGGATGAAGAAAACAATTCTAGAGAAGGTACTAAAACTAATATATTAGATACAATAACATGGAAAAGTCGATTACAAGAGTAGAAGCAAATATTACTTGACAAAGAAACTACTATGTTAGAAGAAAAAGAATGGAACGTGAGAATGATGAATATATTATGAATAGTAATTTGTTAAGTAATTATATGTATCTAGCAATTAACTATAGAGCAAAGTAGGAGTTGAGCAATCTATTTAGCCTACTTTTTGAAAAACCAAGCTATATAAATTCTGAAGGTTAGCTTAGTAATCCTACAGACCAGACCAGACTGAACTTTAGTAAGTTCGAGTTCAGTTCGGAAACTGAACTGAACCTGAACCTGAACCTTTTTTAAAACTATGTTCGGTCTGAGTTCAATTCCAAACTTTTTAGGCAAGTCTGATTTAGTTCGAAGTTTGGTTCAAAAGTTCATGAATATGTTCAAGTTTGAATATCTATTATATGAAATTTACTTAGGCACCCAAAAAATTAATAACATAATTTGTATTGACCAATGAAATTGGCCCATACTCTTCACGCAATAAAGTGTTCACTCAGAATTCTTTCCCTAATCTAGCCTAAAATTATTAATGTTAACTAACTAATTAACTTTAAAAACTCAATTAAAATCTCTGGACTAAACTTTGAACTGGATATTGATTTGTCATAATAGATTTTTTATTCTAGTTCATTTTATTTGTTTATTTCAATTTCTCCCTCCCCCTCCCAAAGTCCTAAAAAGAACATTAACTAAAGATTTCACTGCAAACGGCCTTAAAGATATATTATATGAGATTTTTACTAACTAAATAACTCTTCAGAACTAGTCTTGAAGGGTTATTTAGTTAGCAAAAATCTCATATGAGTGTTACAAAATTAAATTTTAAAACTGGATATATAAAATATATATTCAGTTTTAAACTTTAATTTGGCAGCATTTATTTGATTAAATAATTAGTTTTTAAAAAAAAAATAATAATATAAATAAATAGAGTCTTATTGGGTGGTAAATAACTTATACTATTTTTATTAGATAAAAGTATAAGTAATACAGTATATATTTTTTTTTTTAAAAAAAAAAAACTATTTGAAGTTATAACTTTAAATTTTTCCCTTCAATGGTCCCTGCATCCATAATCGAAGACATTGTGCTGCTCTCACAGTTTTAGTCACCAAATTACATCTGTTTTTAGTGATCATATTTCTACTAGCAGAGAAGAGACATTCAGAAGCAACAGAGGTTGTGGGAATTGCTAGGTAGTCACAAGCTATACAGGAAATGTGAGGATACTAGATTTGATGTGCTTAAGTAAATATATTAAATTAATTTATTAACAAGGTATATGTAGGTCTTTACCTTGAAAATGACTTTATGATACATAGTAATCAATGATTACTATATATCATAAAGTCATTTTTAAGGCAAAGACCCATATGCTATATTTATTATAATACCTTTTACTATGCCAATACGTCAATTTCTTTGTTTGCTAGTTTTTCTAATATGTAACATTCAAGTTCGTCCAATTCTTCATTGTTATTATCAAAGTCTGCATCTAGCATTGATCATGTAGTTGATTTTATAGCATTGTCAGAATTCAA